TAGATGAAGAGATATGCCAGTTTATGCAACCTGTCAGTGAACCTGGAGACCATTTTGATATTGTTGCATTACAAGATGATGATACTACTATCTCTTATTGGAAGCAGCAAGTTCTCACAGGAGTTCGACCTAGTAAGAACTCACTCCAGACTGAAAATGACCTTATTTTTCACAGGAACTTCTCAAAACTGAAGATAAAGGATGGAGTTTTGATACGAGAAGTTAAGAACGAGGGGAACACACTTGAACAGCACATACTCCCAGCCTCATCTATTCCAACAGTACTGAAGTATCTCCACAATAAGATGGGACATCTAGGCCGTGATAAGACTTTATCATTGGTACGACAAAGGTTTTATTGGCCGAGAATGCAGAAAGATGTCACAACTTGGATTGAGAATTGTGAGAGATGCACCAAGAGTAAGAGGCCAGCTGAGAAGACAGAACTAGTTAACATCACTACATCCCAGCCGTTAGAGTTAGTATGCATGGACTACCTTACTTTGGAACCATCAAAAGGAGGAATTCAGAACATTTTAGTTATTACAGATCATTTTACTAAATTTTCCATTGCAGTTCCCACCAGAAATCAAACAGCTAGGACAACAGCAGAAGCCATCTTCAACAGTTTCATCATTCATTATGGAATTCCTGAAAAACTACACTCGGATCAAGGTACAAATTTTTGTAGCAATATTATTAAAGAATTATGTTTACTTTTAGGCATTTCCAAGTCCAGGACCACTCCGTACCATCCAATGGGAAATGGAATAACAGAGAGATTCAACAGAACCTTGTTGTCCATGTTAAGAACTTTAGAGAATTCCCAGAAAGCAGATTGGAAGCGACACATCAATAGCCTGGTACATGCATACAACTCTACCGTCAATGACACAACAGGATTTACACCATTCTTCCTGATGTTCGGTAGAGAACCGAAGCTGCCTGTTGATGTTATTTTTGGACTGTCTAGATCCTATGATGATGACAAGTGTACCACCAAGTATATTGCTGAGATGAGGAAAAGATTGCAAGATGCGTACAAGCAAGCGGAAACAGCAATAAAGTCCTCTCAGCAAAGACAGAAGTCCAATTACGACATTAGGGCCAGAGCAGCTATACTGAATGTTGGGGATAGAGTGCTCGTCAAGATTGTGGCATACGATGGTAAGCACAAAATATCGGACAAGTGGGAAGATGTGCCTTACGAAATCTTATCCCAACCAAACAAGAACATTCCTGTTTTCAAGGTGAGACGTGAGGATGGCGAAGGACGTTGTAGAGTTCTACATCGTAACCTACTATTGCCAATAGGATCCAAGTTTACATCCTCACCACCAGTACCCAAACCTAGACAAAGAAGGAAGGCAAAGAGAAGAGATGAACCTGAAGATACTAATACAAAAGATTCTTTTTGTATTTCAGATTCTGAGAGTGAATTTTCATTTATAGGTAACCCTATAGTGTCTAAGAATTCACCACCAGAGACCTCCAGTCAAGAGGGTGACGACCTGTCTTCGGCCGGAGAAGCTTCAGCACCTGATTCAGAAGAGGACGCTCTTCAGCAGCAGGAGCCTGCCAATCAGCCTGAAGGTGATGATGATCAAGTTGAAGAAGTTCAGATTGTAGAAGAAAACAAAGTTGTTGAGCAAGACGATGAGCCTTCCATAGATGAAGATGAACCTTTGCAAGACACTCCAGTTCCTGCTCCACGGCAGTCGACAAGGCAAAGAAAGGTCCCAGATTGGACGAAAGATTACGTGATGATGACGCAAGGTAAAGCAGAACCAGATTGGTTACGTAGAGCCAACTTTTTGAAAGAGATGATGAAAGATGGTCTTTTACAGAGTGTAGACTCTAATTTGTGCCAGATAGCTCTTTTAAATATTGTGTCATCATCTCAGTAATACCCAGGTATGTATTTTAGTATCATTGTAGATATCCGTACTTTTTATGCCGTAAACCTCACTGTTGAATGACGCGGACGTCATTCTGCAACCAGGGGGAGGTTGTAGTAGTGTGTATAATATGCGTATATAATAAATAAGTGTTTTAAATTTAATGTAAATAAATTAAACTACCATAATAGATAAAAGTATAAAAAGCTTGATCCGCTCCTTTATATCCTTAGCCCTTTACCTGTACACCTGTATATAGATAATTAGTTACCTTAGGGCAGTTCAAAGGTTTTGGAGTGTTATTGGTTCTTATTGGTAGTTTGGTTGTGAAGTTGGATTTCATTGGTTTTATTCTTTTGGTCATTGGTTTTACCGCCAAAATATTCATTCTTTGTCTTGTTGAGTTAATGACCAAGACTGAGTTTTTATGGACTCCATGACTGACTTTTGGAGACTGACAAATTCCATTTTCTGGTAAGTACTAACTTTCCTTATTACTAATTGTTAAGTAATATGTCTATTCTATAGATCTGCATTTATTAAAGATCCCAATTTCACTTCATATTAATTAAATGTATGACCATGAGAGAAAGATGTTATTTTTATGATTGGAATTATTGATTACAAAGATCAGTAATGTATTATATTATAAGTGTAAATTGTTATGTTCAAGTTACACCATATATTTTTATGACCCAGATATTTGGTAACTTTGTTCAAAGTGAACAGATGATTTTATTTTAAAGGAATATATATATATTTTAATGTATACTGTATTAAATTACAGAGTCCATATACATGTTGTGTAAAAAGCTGTAAACATCACACATTCATGTGGTAGCCTTTTCCCACAGAATGGTGAGGAATTATTTGTTTTAATTAGTCCTATTTTTTATACCTTTATATGGGAGAAAATATGTAATGTCCATATATTAACTATAAGAGTTATCTCCCTTAATTGATAGTAAATGTACACATATACCTATCATCTACAATATATATCATTATGGATATGTTAACTATGAGAGCTTCATGTATAGATGATTAATAGGATTGAATTGATGTGCTATTATATTGTTGTTTTATTATATTTCAGGGCTATAATAACATTGTATTGCTAAAGCTCACTGTGTCTAAATAAATAAGACCTGAACCCTGACAGAGGAGTGTTTGTTCTTCATTACCAACCCCCTGTTACATTTATAACAGTCCGAAATCTCTGCCATTGTGTCTGCATACTTTCTGTAAGAACTGTATATCATCGTATGCTTCTTCTGTTCTTCAGTCGTCAAATAGTGACAACAAATCGGAGTTACTATGTCCCATTTGCAGAAGGAAGTACGTCATAGTAGATGATCTAACAAAATGGATAGATGGACTACCGCATAACCACGTGATTGATCAATTAATTGGGCTAATGGAGAAATCGGAAAATGAGTGCGATTCTTGCAAACGGCGTGACAAGGAATCAGTCGCAACAAATAGGTGTTTAGACTGTTGTGACAATTTGTGTGATGACTGCACATGTTATCATAGAGGTCACCGCTACTCTATGGATCACACATTGCTGAAGATAGAGGAACTAAAGTCACAAAAACAGGCTGGTTTTTATATCCCAGGGATGTTTTGTAAGAAACACGAAAGCAGGAAACTGGAGGTTTATTGTTTCGATCACGAGGGGCCTTACTGTTTGATGTGTGCAACGATGGAACATCGGAAGTGTAAACAAGTTGAAAGTTTAGAGGAGTGTTCGAAGCTGTGTACAGAAGAGAAACTGACATCATTTCGCCAAAGACTAGATATGTTGTATAGAAGAAGTAAAGGACATCTTGAACACTTATGGCCGGTTGCGTATCTCGGATTTAAACCTACGATCAATGATTCCGGGTTTAAATCCAAGCTTTCGCGTTGCACGCATGTAAGGATTGGCTGAGTACGGCTCAGAATTACGGTAAATTCTGAACCTGGTGTAGGGGTGGTTTAAACCCAGCTTTACAACGTTTTCATGGATTTTTTTAATTGAATTTAATTTTTGGGGTAGAATATTTCAATAATTTGAAATATTACGATGTTGCTAAAATGTTTTATGGTAATGATGATTGCATTGATAGATTTTGCAGTATTAAAAAAGCTATTCTACAAGAAAAATTTTATGGCAATATTGCATGTTGATTTTTCTTTTTGCACAAATTCTCAACAGCTGTTCAATGTGCCGTTTTAACACTGATGTAGCTGTAGTATAAAGTTTTGGAAGATACTTTTAAAATACATAAATGTACATAAACAGGAATTTTATAGAAACTTTCTAATATACCAAATTTAAATCAAATTACGAATTTTACATTTTCGTCAATAGCTTATGATACACATTCCAATAATTTCTAATAATGCCGAATTCCCTAGAGATAAAAAGTCTTTCGGTTATCTGATTAATCAGGCTGTCTACACAACCGTAGGAACCGGGTCGGGGGAGGAAGAACATGTTCGTCCCCTATAATTTTGCCGCTGTATAAAATTCTCTAGAAAACATAGCTAATATGTGTTTTCTCAAAAATAATGTATTATAAATTTTTTTTTTCATTTGATTTTAAACTAAAACTTTAGATTTATACATTGTTCCTTTATCATTTATATACATATATTGTGTTTTGGTATTGTTTCTAAATTACTTATTCCAAAGACCACCATCCCTGTTTTCTTCTCTTCAGTCTTTTGCAAAAGCTTTATTCTGTTTGCAATTTTATATTTTCTTATGGTTTGAGTTTCGATGAAAGATGCCATGATTTGAATTATATTGTATTACATTTTTTTTAACATCAATATATATCTTTGATTTTAAATATATCCTTTTAATGTTCAACCAGTTACTAGTATATTAAAACTTGTTTTGAAGTGCTGTAATATCAGGAAATCTTTTATCTTTCAACATTTTATATGAGTAAGTCAAGATTAGGTAAACCTTACTCAGTTTTATAGCGTGCAACAGAAATGCGACTCAGGTAAACCCGACTCAACTGGGGTTTAAACCCGGCTTACGTGATCCACGGATCAGCCACTGAGCTGTACTTATCTGAGCCATAGATACGCAACCGGCCATTAAACATGCAGAAAAATGATTTCCATTCAAATGTTTCTTTAATCATTGATCGCATTAGAAATGACAAGGAAAAAGCTTTTCAATTCTTAAATGAGAAAGAAGCTGCAATTTGCAGAGAAATACGTTCCATTGAAAAGGTTAAGAAACTGCTCTACGAGGACAGAGAAAACCAAACACAAGAAATTCATTGTACATCTGAGAAAAGCTTGGAGCGTATTAGTAATGCTAGCAGAAAAAGTAAAGTTGAGGTGTTCTTAGAAATGAAAGAAGTGGAGAAGCAATGCAAAGGTTTTGAATCTATGTTGGATGAAATTAAACAGAGTGAAAACTACATCATTAAATTGATAGATGATAAAGCTCTTCAAAAATTTATGCAAACAACAAATCCGTTTGGAAAAATAAACACTTGTAAAACGCCAAAGGTCAATTTCCAATCTGCAAGTGTAAAATTTTCTAGCAGTATCAAAGCAGAAGATTGTCGATTTACAGATGTGTGTTCATATTGCAAGACCCACATTCTGGCATTATCGGAAGATAAAAATATGTACATTTTTTCCTTATCTGGTAAACTTAAAGACAAAACAATGCTGTCTGGAAAACCCTGGGCACTCACAAAATTCTTGAAGAAGAACGTTGCAGTATCCATAAGATCGCCACACCGCTGCATCCAAATTTTTGAAATCAAACCATCAAGTTTGAATCCACTGCCAACAAAAGAAATACCATTAGAATTTGAACCTCTTGGAATACAGTGGGAGGATAACATGTTTATTGTGTCTTCAAATGATTCGATGATTCGATGGATATCTGATGATGGAACAGTGAAACAATCTGTCCCAGTGTCCAAAGGACCCATCGCCGGTTTATGTTGCCAGCACACACTTGAAATATTATATTTTACTAATGAGTCCGAGAACAAGGTCAATATGGTTCATTATCCAAAGAGTTTATGTTTCACTCAGACAAAAGATATTTTACCGCTCAAACAACCAGTTGGATTGTGTTGTGATTCACAGGACAACATCTATGTCGTTGGGTATTCATCCAAAAATGTTGTTCAGGTGGATCCAGATGGAACCTTCGTGAGAGAGCTTATACATGAGTAGTATAAGGAGCCTGGCCGGCCGGGTCAACTGAGTGCACTTTTGGGCTGAGGGGGATAGGGGGTTCAAGGGAGTGCAGCCCCTGGGGGGGGGATAGGTGGGTCAAGGGAGTGCAGCCCCTGTGGGGGGGATAGCCGGGTCAAGGGAGTGCAGCCCCTGGTGGGGGATAGCTGGGTCAATTCAGTACATATAGCCCCCTAAATACGGGGGTCTGTTTACACTTTGTTTACATTATA